TGGAGAGGTTTCCACTATAGGGCACATGTGCTTGCCACAAAGACAGAGAGAGACAGAGAGACAGAAAGTGAGAAATCACACACACACACACACCCAGGGAGGATGGCCAAGCTGCAATCCCTTCTCCTCCATTCTCCTCTTGGGATCTTGGGCACGCACACACGAACCCGGCATACGTGTAAGCCACTGAGTCCAAGATTTGAACCACAGTCGACTACATGGGAGTCCAGCGACGTAGCCATTACACTATCTGCTGGTTCCCCAATAAGTCTTTCTAAAAGAGATGAAGCAGGGCCAGCAGGTGGCATAGCAATTAAGGAAATGGACTCTCACATGACCGAGTCTACGGTTGGAGTCCCAGCCCCAACAGCCTGAGAAACACACTGGGCACACGAATGTGCACCCACAGGGTCCTGGGGAAAGATGAAGGAGAGGCTGCAGGGGAGCCTTCAGCCCCAAGGTGGTCTCTCCCTCTCTCTCTCCTCTCTCCAGTGAGCACACATGCCTTATGGCAAAAACCTAAAAAGGGAAATAAAGAGAGAGTGCAGGGCAGGGCCTTGCACCTACAGATGCGAGGCCTGCAGGCAGCCACAGTGGAGAATGGCTTGGTAACAGCGAGTGGCTGACTGGCAGGGCAGAGGGCAGAGGGCGAGGTGCAGCGGTGAGACTGGCGGGGCCAGCTGACTGGCAGACATCTAGGGGCGTGGGGGACTACAGCCCTGTCAGCCAGTGCCAGGCGAGGCCGGCCAGTCGGCAGACAGCTGGACACACAGGGCAGGTCTGCGCCTCGCACCCGCACGACACACATGGACTGCGGGTCTCAAGGCCTGATGAGGTTACCAAAGCAGAGAGATGTGGCCGACAGAGTCGCACCCACAGTGACCGCCTGAGGCAGAGTTACAGCGAAAACAGACTAGGTATCTTTAAAGTCAGAAACTGTTTCAGCCCCTCTGTATAAAAATGTAAAAATGAAAACCTGACGTGCTTGCAACCCTGCAGCAAACAGTGGATACATGAAGACCACAGATAAATGCATAAGATGACAGCCCAGGGGCCAGCAGGTGGCGTGGTGGTTAAGGCACTGGAATTCCCACAAGGCTGACAGCGGTTCGAGTCCCAGAGCTCGCAGCTTGCTTTCTCACTCTCCCCCTCTCTCTCTTGCTCTAGCAAAACTCATGCTAAAAAATTTGGGAACCAGCAGTTAGCGTAATGGCTATGTCGCTGGATTCCCACGTAGTTGACCGCAGTTTATGTCCCAGACCCGGTGGCTTAAAACTCACGCCGGGCGCGTGTGCGTGCGTGCCCAAGATCCCAAGAGGAGAATGGAGGAGAAGGGATTGCAGCGTGACCATCCCCCCGGGGAGTGATTTCTCGCTTTCTGTCTCTATGTCTCTCTCTGTCTGTCTGGCGAGCGCACGCGCCCTACAGTGAAAATCTCTCAAAAAAAAAAAAATTAATTAATAAAATAATTTTTAAAAAAAAAAAAGATAGCAGCCGGCACCCACCCCAGCCCAGGGGCAGCTCAGAGACAAACGGCTGATGATGCAGAGCCCAGGGATCACTGCCCTCAGCACTCCGTGGCTGTGTGCCCTCCCGGAGAAGGAGGTGACACCGGCCCTCCCCTCGACACCATACCCTGGCCTGGGAGCTTGTCCCCAGGAGCTCGGAGCCACAGGAGCCTGAGTGGCTGGCTCACGGCAGGTGTGGCGAGCTCCACGCCCACTGCCTGTGATGGCAGTCCCTGGAAGACGCACCCTCTGCAGGCTGCTCCACTGTCCTGGCCCCACCCCACGCTGCCCTCGGAGGGCTCCAGGGGCACTGGCCTGGAGCCGGGTCTTCAACCCAGTCCCTGTGGAGATGCCCCAGCGTGCTCTCTAACAGGCTCAGACCCCTACAGGCTTCCTGCTCCTCTTGAACGCTCACCATCTCTCCAACGCCCAGGCTCACTGGAGCTTTCCCTGCAGCCTACCAGGCACAGTGATGGCAGTGGCTGTGTCCTGCTTAAGCTCTGACTGCCGAGGCCCCCCCGCAGACCTGCTCTCTCCCTCACTGTACCCTGTCTCCATAGCCCAGGGGACATGCCGGTCCTCCCCATGTTCTGCTGCCCAGCGTGCACACATGTGAGTGCGTGCCCAAAATTTTGAAGAGCGGAGAGATGGAGAAGGGGCTGCACTATAACCATGACCCATGGGTTGTTTTTCTCCTCTCTCTCAGGCAAGTACCTCCTAACACACAAAAAAAAGCCTGATGTTTTCTGGAAACATGAAATGAACATCTCAAATATCACAGAGTTATACACGATTCTGAGTAGCACTTCCAGCCTGTTCTCAAAAGAGGAGCTTGGGCCTCAGGTACAAGAAACACGCGGTGAAACATGGGGTAAAGCACTCCCTCACTCGACAAAGACGAGGGTGTCACGATCCACGGCAGATGAGGCCAGCAGAGGGCGGCATAGGTACGTCGCTGGACTCCCATGGAGTCGACTGGAGTTGGAATCCCAGGCCCTACAGCTTAAAAACACTGGGCGCGTGTGCATGCGTGTGTGCGTGCATGCCTGCCTGAGATCCCGAGAGGAAGAAGGAGGAGAGCGGATTGCAGCGTGGCTGTCATCCCTGGGGACGACTTCTCGCTTTCTGTCTCTCTGTGTTTCCAGTAAGCACATGCATCCTACAGCAAAAATCTCTCAAAAACAAAACAAAACAAAAAAAACTACAGCAGCAAGCCCAGGATCAAGGACCAAAACCCAGCACAGCCATGGCCCTGCTGCTGCCCACACCGCAGGGAGAGCCAGTAAGAACAGAGAGGGCGCTGGCAGGAAGGAGACGAGCAGCCACATGTGGGTACCAAGTGTCCCCGCGGAAGACCCAGGAGACCACGGGAACGAGCGGCATGCAGGGAGGCCTCGGGACACAAACGTGTGTTTCAAACAGCACTGGTTTAAAGACAGACCCCCCAAGCACGTAGGAAGTAAGTTCTCAGGAAGAGTCTAAAGAGGATGGCGGAGACTCTTCCAGATGAAGTTCTGGCCTCCCCAACAGACGTCCAAGAGCACGGGACCCACTCAGCCCCTCAGCAGGAGTGCTGGGGAGACCAGCCCCAGGGTCAGTGAGAACCTTGCAGCCTGGCTCATGTGGTGCTGCTCAAGTGGCTCTGAGCTCATGCAGAGAAGCAGGGACAGTGATCCCAGTGAGGGACAGTGTGGCCACAGTCCCTCAGGGAGACATGACATGGACAGAGTCAGACCCTGGAAATTCAGCTCGGCCCTGGTTCAGGAAAACTGGCCAGAAACAACCATGATCAGTGTCCATGAGATGCCAGAGACGCAGCACAGGGGAGGGGAGGAGCCTGCTCCAAGAGCTGACGAGGGGCTGGGAAGAAACTGGGAGGCCCGTGGGCATCAGCCAGGCTCCCCCACGAGATGCTGCCCAGCAAGAAGGACCGACACATGGAGAGGGAAGCCTTGGCCCCTTCTGCCGGCAGATCGGGGTCCAGCAGATTGAGTGTGAAGGCAGAGACAGGCTGAGCACGCAGCCATCCTACCCTGAGGTGTGTGCAGTTTCAAAGGTGCCCGGACAGGAGGGCGCTCGGACCAGCTACATAAGGAAGCTAAACCAGAAACTTGTGGAGGGCAGAGTACACTCCCAAGACCCTTCAGGGGGTGACAGTCACCACCAAGGAGCCACAGAGAAGATTCCAAGAACAGGACGGCCACCCCTACAAAGAAGTCAACAGTGGCGTGTCTGGTCCAAATGAAGTCGGACTGGACCCAGCCCCATGGCATGGAGGCAGGGCAGCCTACAACCAGGGGCAGGGGCATCCCGGTGGGAGGGGCTCTCTAGAGCCTCTGGTTCTTTTCTGCAATGCTGAGCCTTGCCACGCTTGGGAAAAGGAGTGACAGTCCAAAGGAGACCAGACACAGATGTCAGGTGACACAGGGCTCTGCAGAGCCGGCACACCTGGTGACATCAGGCTGGCACGTGTCCACCGTCTGGGGCTGGGGCGGTGACACCAGGCAGGCGCGTGTCTGCCGTCTGGGGCTGGGGTGGATCGGGACCAGGACCCACTGGGGGCTGCTCCTCTGTGGTGCCTCTCACTCACAGAAAGAAATGAACAGATTAACAAACGAAAGCTACAGACCCACAGGTGAACAAGTACTGGACCTGAGGACGAACGGTCACTGCACTCATGCCCCATAATTAGGAGATCGGCCCAAATCTATCAGGCACCGCAAAACTGGAGAGCACTCAGAAGTTAACCAGAAACATGAGACATGCAGAGTGACACACTGAGCCTCCAACACCGGAAACCAGTCTCGAGGAGTATATGGGATGGGGTGAGGGCAGACTAGACTCTGCAGAAGGTTACTGAGCCTTAAAATGGAACCAAAGCACCGAAAACTAAAGACCCCCAATAAAGAACAGACATCGGGCCTTGAGCAGTCACGAACCCATGCGTGAGAAGCCCAGGGAGAGGGAACGATACCGCCAGGTGCTGGCTGAGGCAGGCAGAACTGCTGTTGCCAGAGAGCATGTGCATGCTCTCATCAGAAAGAGAGATGGAGAGACAGAGAGGAAGAAGGAGAAGGCAACGCCCACGGGACGTTGCAACCCCTTCTGCCTGTCTCTCCCACACCAGCAGGATCTGGACACGCACAGGTACGTTCTCTGAGCTCCTGAGGCTGAAAATCGAGCTGCAGTCGGCCATTTCAGACCTGGCTTCCTGGGCCATGAGGCCCGTCTCGGCCCTTGGGCAGCAAGAACCCTGTGACAGTCCTCACAGGCCTGCCAGTGATCTCTATTAGATGCTGCTGGAGTTGCAACGCTCGGCCCCGGTGTGACCTATCCAAGGCCCACTTCTGGTAACAAGTTCTAATGCCAGGAAGGCCTGGTGGCCCTAGGAAGGTGACAGACTGCTAACCCTGCTAGAACACACCAGAATGGGAAAGCCCAGTCCAGTCCAGCCCTTCTCAGCGGTCTAGCCGTGCACCACCGCACGCTCACCTTATAGAACACGTCAGGCACGTACTGCTCGCTGCTGGACTCCTTGGCGTAGCCGAGCTCGGGGGCATCCTTGCACGGCAGCAGACACTCGTCGCGGACGAGTGCCATGCACTGGTTGGACACCTGGTAGCCTTCGAAGTGCACCTGGTTGTCAGGGCCACCTACAAGACAGTGAGCCGGTCAGGATGTCTTCCCAAGAACACTCGCACCCAGGCTGTGCCAACCGCAGTGCAGATGGCCCTCGAGAGTGTCTTGAGCAAGAGGCCAGAACGCGCAGGGTGGGCCCTGCCCACATGCATCTAAGCCCATGGAAGGGGCTGCAGAGCACCTTCTGACCTCTGCCCCCAGCACGCTCAGTGCCCTTGCACACACAGGCTCCCGGTCTTCAACAGCTAGGATGGGGACGGACAGAGCCCCACACCCAAGCAGTGTCTGTCCTGTGGCAGGGATGGGTGTGAGGACAGGACAGACACTGCTTGGGTGAGGCGCAGAAGCCCCCTGGCTGCCGCGTTGCCCAGAGTCTATCACAGAACCCTGCACAGCCACACACAAGTGGGTGCTGGACCACCTCACCACGTGGAGGCGTGCCTACCACCGCAGGACTGTGGGGACACATGGGCCCTGCTGCCCTCCCCAGACCAGCAGGCACCCCCTCCACACCGAGTCCTCCTGGCCAAGCTCTCCAACAGCCTCTGGAGTGACTCAGCTGGGGACACAGCGGCAGAGCACGGCAATGAGTAAAGGGCCCCCAGCCCCTGTAGTGAGGCCGCCGCGGCACTGCTCAGGTGTATAGAGTGGGCCTGGGCCTTCACATGCGCCAAGCGTGACCCGGTGTGTAGTGGTGCCCAGGCTGCAGAGAAGTGCTCCTGGTAACTCCAGTGTCCTCCACCTTTAGGCCTTAAGGCAACAGAGCAGCCCTCGGCAATTTGGGAGTCCAGCGCCCTCAACCACGATATGACCTACTGGCCCCTGCGGATTAACTTTCCAACCAAGAACTTTCAGGGACATATTCAAACCACAACATTAAAAGTCACTTAACAGGGGCCAGCAGATGGCATTCCTCCCGCAGTTTCTTTCACTAAAGCGGAAGTCGCTTCCGGCCCAGGGACAGGAACTGAGTCCGTCCAGCCTTCAAGTCCTTACTAGAAACCAGAACTGATGGCCAAGTAACCAGAAAGGTGAAGTGCAGGACAGAGCAGGTCCAGGGACAGAACCTGGCTGCTGTCTGCCTGCCTGGCCAGGAGGCTGGCGGTGCTGGCCCAATGCGGGCTCCAGCTGGCAGCACTGCCCCAGCCCAAGGCAGAGGGCAGCACGTTCTCTCAGGAGATACAGCCATGCTTGTCCAAGGACCACGAGGCGTCAGAGCAAGCAGGGACCCTATCTCCAGTGTGTCGGAGGCACCACAGCACACCACCCAGAAGCAGGATAGCAGGGAGGGCAGGGGCAGGGCCAAGGCCGGCGGGTGTGCGTGGGGCTGCCATGTGCCCTGCGGCTCCTGTCTTACTCAGGGCACTGCACACCTGCACCAGAGCCTCGTGATCACTAGCCTACGAGACCATCAGAGAAAGAGAAATCTGACCTTTGACAATGAGAAAAGTAAAAAGCAGCATGTACAAAATTAAAGGCTCATAGGGACCAGCAGATGGCGTAGTGGTTAGGTCACTGGACTCCCATGTAGTCGACCATGGTTCAAGTCCCAGACCCAGCAACTTAAAACAAACTCTCCGGTGGGCCGGCAGGTGGCTTGGTTGTTGAGGTGGCTGGATTCCCATATGGCTGACTGCTGTTCGAGTCCTGAACCTGGTAGATTCCTTTCTCACTTTCCTTCTCTCTGGTTAACTTGAATAAAATAAAGTAATGACAATGGGGACCAGCAGTTGGCGTAATGGCTATGTCGCTGGACTCCCATGTAGTCGACCGCGGTTCAAGTCCTAGACCAGTGGCTTAAACTCACACCGAGTGCATGTGAGCCCAAGATCCAGAGAGGAGAATGGGGGAGAAGGGATTATATGTGGCCATCCCCCGGGGGGGGTGATTTCTTGCTCTCTGTCTTTCTGGTATTAATAAAACAAAAATCTAAAAAAAAAAAAAAAAAAAAAAAAAAATTAGGCCAGCCATGCTGGTGCAGTAACATAACACTCTGACACTCCACAATGCTGAGCTACAAGGAGCATGTAAGCTGTCTCCTCCATTCTCCCCTCAGGAGAGAACTCTCGGCATGAGTTTCAAGCCACTGAGTCAGGCTCAAACTGTGGTTGACCATGTGGAAGTCCAACACCCTAACCATTATGCCACTTGCTGGCCCCATGAGTCCCATTCGTTTTATTTTTTTTAATTATTTTTTCCTTCATTCCTTCCTTCCTTCTTTCTTTCAGTATGACCAGAGAAGGACAGAATGAAAAAGAGAGAGAAAGAAAGTGAGAAAGCAAGCTCCTGGGTCTGGGACTCAAACCAGTCAGCCAAGTGGAAGTCCAATGCACTTAATCACCATGCCACCTGCAGGTCCCTTTTTTTCTTAAAGAATTACTTTTATTTAACTTTACTTATCCATTTATCTATTTATTTATTTTAATTTGACCAGGGAGGGAAGAGAGAGAGAAAGTGAGAAAGCAAGTCAGCCATGTGGGAGTCCAGCACCCTTAACCACCCGCCACCTGTCAGCCCCTGGAGTCTCATTCTTTTTTTTTTTTTTTTTTGGGGGGGGGGCAGAGAAGTTTTTGCCGTAGGTCACGTGTGCTTGCCAGAAAGGCAGAGAGAGAGAGAGAGACAGAAAGTGAGAAATCACCCCCAGGGGGATGGCCACACCACAGTCCCTTCTCCTCCATTCTCCTTTTGGGCTCTTGGGCACACATGCACACGTGCTGGCACGAGTTTAAGCCGCCAGGTCCAGGAATTGACCTGCAGTCAACTACATGGGAGTCCAGCGACAAAGCCATTATGCTAACTGCCGGCCCCTCAAGTCCCATTCTTAATGGCAAAAAATAAGTGAGAGCCAGTCCCGTGGCCCACTGGCAATGTGTCACTGTTGTATAGTCAGGAGAAGCAGGGTTTCACAGGATGACTGTCTCACATCCCAGTCAGGAGACACAGCAGACATGTGCGAACACACAGATCTGACAAGTTAAAGGACTGCAGGGGACCACAGCATGGCCAGACCCCACAGGGCCTCCTCTCCTCTCCCACTGTGTGCCCGGGTCCTACTAAGAATAGAGAGAAAAAATATGGAAAGCAAATGAGTGTGGAAACAGGTCATCCCTCTTCTCCCACACACAGAGTCAGCAGGGTTCTTGGGAAAGGGCAAAGACAGCTCCCACACTAAGATCCAGAAAGTCGAGCTTTAATATGCACTCGGACAGGCCAGACCTTGGGAGAGCTACACTGAGGTGCAAGCTGTGTCACTAGTTTTGCAGATGATGCTAACAAGTTCCGAATTTTACCAGGAGACAAAAGGAGGAACCCATTCCTCATGGGTCCATTAAGAAAGCCACCAGAAGTGAGGAGGCGGGCGGGCGCCAAGGCTGCGTCCCACCGCGGGACGTCGCGGGCCCTTCCGGACTGTGCGTGTCCCCCCTGGGGCCCTGCTAAGCCGGCGGCGGCAGGAGGCGGCTCTGCGTGCCCCCCCCCCAGAGCCCTGCTAAGCCGGCGGCGGCAGGAGGCGGGCGGCCTCTGGGCCAGCAAGCTGAAGCTGAAGAGAAGGAATAAGAATTTGCAACTATAAGCAACAGAAAGAACCTTTAACTGCCTTAAACCAACTGAGAAATACACTGTAGAGAAGGATTTTATCTACCTATGGACAGTGAGAAGATGATGGATACCAGCCCTGCATTACCTCAGGCAAGAACAGGAACTACCCTGCCATTCTTAGGGAAGCCAGACACCAGAGGATAAGTCACGCTGCAGACCTCCACAACACCATTCCGGCTAACCACAAGATGGCTGCTGTGCCGCATCAACTGATGGTCAACTCTGCTTGCCAGAACCGCCTTCCTGAAACTGTATTCCATGGAGACTCACCTACAGTTGCGGAACTGCACGAGACCCACACTTGATCCAACCTTGAATGGAATCTATTTTCCCTATTGTTAAAAACTTTGGACTCGTGACCCCTCTCCCTCTACTCGCAGGTATCGCATTTTCAATGACCCCTCTGGAGGATAGCTGTCTATAGCAGAGATAGAGTAATTGGGAGAGGGGGAAAGGGCTGAGGGTCAAACATAGGATAAAAAACATATTTATATGTATGAAAGTAGAAATGGAACAGTATTGGTGACGACATGCTTGATTAAGACACTATGTAGTTTATCCTAGATGGGAAACTACACTTGGTGTGTTGTGATGATACTCAGGGAATGAGTGTTAGGCAATATAATTTAATATAAAAAAAGTAATAAGCAGGAGGAAAAAAAAATGCACATTTGATGACTGAAGAGAGTTGTATGGACACAACTGGGGTCTACTTTATAATATGTTCATTCTACTCCCTGGGGTTTATGCCTAGGATCAGATTTGGATACATGTGTAAGGATATGTCAGCTGTGCTAGCTAGTGGATATACTTAGACTAATTGAGTTCATTGGTAGAACAATTGAATGGGGGGGGGCGGAAGCCATTGAGGGCAATCATGAATGTCAGGGACAATGGAGGAGGAAGATGGGACATGGCAGAGGGTGGGGATGGGGAACCTAGGATGGCAAAACAAAAGGCAAGGTATGCAGGACACAAAAATTGGGAAATCATTTGCTGAGAACATATATGTTGATGTGCTTGATTGAGCCAATGCACAGTGTATTTTGGATGGAAAATTCATATGTGTGTTGTGATGAGAAAAAATTTATAATAAAAAACAAAGTATAAAAAAAAAAAAAAGGAGAGAGAAGAGGATAAAGACAGCAGTGAACAATAGAGAGGCAGGATGTTAATGAGAAATAGATATGGTTTATTACCTGTTGATGATGACATGTATAGTATTCTCAACTGAACCGGTCTGGAAAGTATTTCATGATGGGTGAAGTCTTTTTAATAAGCAAAATGAGAAATAGTGATTGACTGTTTAAAAAAATTATAATAATAATTATTGGGAAAAGCATGGAAAAGATATTGAATGATAAAGCGGGGAGATTGATATCTCTGTATTGACTGACATGCATGGCATTCCCTTTTGAAAAAGCAATGGAAGTCAATGTAAAGTTATATGTAATCTAGTGTAATAGAAAGAAGATTATGATGATAATAAAAAAAAAAAAAAAAAAAAAAAAAAAAAAAGAAAGCCACCAGAAGTTAATTAAGGAGAGACCAGAGGGTGGCGTGGTAGTTAAGGCGCTGAACACTGAACACTTCCGCATGGCCAATCATGAGTCCCAACCCTAGTGTCTTGCTTTCTCACTTTCCCTGCCCCCTCTATCTGTGTCTCTCTCTAGTCAAATTAAAATGAATGAATGGATAAATAAAATTAAATAATTCTTTAAAAAAAAAAAGAAGTTAAGGGTAGAAAGCTCCTAGGAGGAAGGGATGAAGGGTGTCACGAGGCAGTAACACGATCCCTGAGTCTACCCCTCATACCTGTGGCCACTGCAGTAACAAACTTGGATCCAAAGTGTCCATCTGGGGACAGCCGGCAGATGTTGGGGTGCTTGTTCTGGAAGTCCCCTGCGGTGATGCACTCCTCTGAGCTTAGGAAGTAGGTGTCCTAGCACAAGAGGCAGGCGTCAGGCCAAACAGCACCAGGTCAAAATGTGCTCCGAGTGGTCTCAGAAGCTACACGGAAACAAATACCTCGGACTTCTCACATTAGGACTCTCCTCCACCCTACAGCTGCCCTGGAGACCTCTGGTTTACAAAGGGGAAGAGGGTTCTGCTCACTGAGACAGAATCAACAGGGCCAGCCTTAACAAGGACTGTCTCACAAAGACACCAGCTTGGATGCTGGAGGGCAGTGCAGAGAGTAGGCTGCCCCCCCCCCCCCCGCCGTGGGCTGAGGGGGCCCTCCACTCACCTTGTTGCGACTGTATCGGACCGTGCCCTTCCGAGTATCTTCGGAGACGAGGTCAGTGAATATCCAGCCAACCTTGACAAGAGAGGAGAGCACCTTTCAAATGTCTCCCTGATGCAAACGACAGCTATTTTTTGTTTCTGCCCAGAAAACTTCTGCCGTTCTCGCCAAAGACTCTGCTGTGAGCCAGGTTAACCTAGGTGGGTAGTGACAGGGGTGGTGCCAGGCCACTTCAGGGCCTGCAGACGCTGCATGGCACAAAGCAGTCACCTCCCTCCTGTTCAGCTGGGTCAGAGGGAGATAATGGGTGGCACTCTCTTATCCCCTAAAGAGCCTTCCTGAACACTGACACTGGCCCAGCACTGTGCTGGGTGCAGGGGACACGGGAGCCAGGCAGCAGAATGGCAGAGGAGAGGGAACTCGTGCTCCCCAGGGAAGAGCACAGTGGGCTGTCTGGGTGCAAGGTCCAAACCCACAAGGTGTGAAGGATGCTGCCCCATCAAGGGTACTGGGGCCAGATGCTCACTGGAGCGTCAGAGCAGGGGTGGGAGGCAGCATCTGGGAGGACAAGGTTTGGACCCCTAGGCCTGGTGCACCCTAAAGGCCAGGAGCCCACGACAGGCCCTGGCACTGCGCCTGCACTCTGTGGCCCCAGGGTCCAGTCAGTTTCACCTGGTCAGCAGCTAAGTGGATCTAGACACAGCCCACGCATCAGTCCTTAGGGGAAGTGGCCCTGCACCCAGCACACCCCTCATGTCCTTAGGGGAAGTGGCCTGGTGCTGGCCCTGCACCCAGCACACCCCTCATGTCCTTAGGGGAAGTGGCCTGGTGCTGACCCTGCACCCAGCACACCCCTCATGTCCTTAGGGGAAGTGGCCTGGTGCTGCCCCTGCACCCAGCACACCCCTTATGCTTATGCTGTCCCACCCTAGACCTCGAGGTAGCTCTTGGGTGTGGCTGGCAGATCCAGAAGCAGCCCCAGCTCTGGCGTTTTTATGTCCCAAGAGACGCTCACTTCACTTGAAGTCAGAGAAACAGGAATACCACCACGGCCCGAGAAACAGGGAGGTTGCAAGCACACGTGGCTGCACCTGACCTTGGCAGCTGGGGGCCGGCAGGGCCTGGCTAGGCCGGCCTGCTCCCCATGAAGACTCTCCCAGGCCGCCTGGCTGACAGCACCCCCGTACCTTCCTCAGGCCAAGCTTGGCAGCGATCTCATCAACTACTTCAGCTTTTGGATCTTCAAGAAGCTCCAAGCTGTTCTGTGTGCCGATCTGCCAGGAGTGAAACGAGAAGGGTTCAGAGAGGGCCCAAGATATAGCACCTGTGCCCCTCCCCACCTCCAAGACAGCGCCTCCTGCCCAGAAAGAACATGGTCACAGGTAAGACAGTCCGTGTCCTCCATGCGCCTGCCCCTCTCAGAGGCCAGAGAGCACGTGCACTCACGAGAGACAAAGACTGAGAGAGCTCCCCCAGGAGCACGGTCACACGGCAACCCCTGCTCCTCCATCCCTCCCTCCTGTCAGAACGGGGGCATGCACACGTGCCCAGCGTGTATTTCAAGCTGCCAGGGTGACTCAAACACTGCTGGCCTGCAATAAGCCTTCAACGGCGACTCTGAGAGAAGGCAGAGGCGACGCTTGTGCTGCCATGTGCTGCAGGGTTCGTCAGGCACGCACGTGGCTCCTCGGGATCGAGGCAGGCTTTAGGCTTTTTTCATGTGTGTCTATTTTAAATGTTCCTTTGTGGGACTGAAGTTAACTTCCAAACTCCCTCGGTAAGTAGTTTTACTCCAAGCAAGTCTGGCTAGCTTAGGTAAGCTGGAAGCTCTAAGGGAACACTCATTCCTGGAACACATGGCACTCCTGCAGGGATGCTTGTCCTCACAGCCAAACATGCGGCACGCAGTCTGCGGAGTCCACGGTGGTGACAGGCATCTCAACAGTGACCGGCTGGCAGGAGGCCGAGCACTTGGCTCAGGGCAGCCGACAAATTCTGCCTAAGGCTGGCCTCGTGCAACCACAGAGACCTCAGGACGCCGACACCTGGAGTGGGCAAAGCCTGGCGAGGTCTAGAACCTTCACGGTCATGAGTTGTGGGTCACAAGCTATAACCTCCAGTGCAGCACAGAAAGGTGGGCCAGCATGTGCTGGGTCAGCTGGGCACATCCTTGTAAATTCCAGCAAACAACCAAGAACACTCTGTCTGCCAGCTCTTCCCAGACGGAGATCATTAGCGCCATGAAGTACAAGTCAGACGCGAGCTCGTTAGGAAGCCATAGAGAGCAGCACCAGCGCGGTGACAGGCAGCAGTGTATTGGTCCGCCTACTAATCAGCTGAGGCTGTCAGGGGTCCCCAGTTCTCCCTAGGGGCCCCAGATCAGGGCCAGATGATGCAGCGTATCTGACAGAAGCTCCATGAAGGAGCCTCAACAAAGTGGCCCGTGCACTGCTGCTTCCAAGGCAGCATCCTAGCCACAGATGCCCTGAGTGGCAGGAGCCAGGGTGCCGCTGGCCGGACTCTTTCGCCACCACGTGTCTTAAAGGAACCAGCACCAAAAGCCTCAGGAAGGCACGTTCCACCCACAGCCCCAGAAGGAAGCAACACCCATGGGCAGGCACACGCAGAGTCTCTTAAACACACCAGGGAAGGTGTGTGCAGCGTGGAGGGATATGAACTTGCGTTCTAGAGCTGCAGACAGACCCCACCAGTGCAGACACCCACCCCGTCTCAAGTCAGGCAGTGACTCCCGCAACAGGTGGGGCAGGTGATGAGGGTGCACACCATGAAACACAGGTGCACATGGGAGGTGACAAGAGTGCACACCGTGCGACACAGGTACACAGACACAGAGGCCGTGTGCATGTGTGTGTGTGCACATGCTTACATCAAAAAGTCAAGCAGGGGAACCAGCAGTTAGCGTAATGGCTATGTTGCTGGACTCCCACGTAGTCGACTGTGGTTCGCGTCCTGGACCCGGTGGCTTAAAACTCACACCGGGCATGTGTGCGTGCGTGCCCAAGATATAGCACCTGTGCCCCTCCCCACCTCCAAGCCAGCGCCTCCTGCCCAGAAAGAACATGGTCATAGGTAAGACAGTCCGTATCCTCCATGCGCCTGCCCCTCTCAGAGAATGGAGGAGAGAAGGGATTGTGGCGTGACCATCCCCCCTGGGGGGTGATTTCTCACTTTCTGTCTCTCTGTCTCTCTGTCTGTATGGCGAGCACATGCACCCTATAGTGAAAACCTCCCCCCCCCCCAAAAAAAAAGTCAAGCAGATGGTGTGGTGGTTGAAGTGCTGGACTTCCAAGTGGCCAATCCCAATTCAAATCCCAGACCTAGTGGCTTGTTTTCTTGCTTTCTCTCTCCCTTTCTCTCTGGTAAGTACACATCCCCTATAGCAATTTAACGCTAATAATATTAATAAATAAAATAAAAATTTATTTAAAAAAAAGTGAAGGCTGGGACCAGCAGTTAGCGTAATAGCTATGTCGCTGGACTCCCACGTAGTCGACCGCGGTTCGCATCCTGGACCCGGTGGCTTAAAACTCACGCTGGGCACGTGTGCGTGCGTGCCCAAGATCCCGAGAGGAGAACGGAGGAGAAGGGATTGCGGCGTGACCATCCCCCCTGGGGGGTGATTTCTCGCTTTCTGTCTGTCTGGCGAGTGCACGCGCCCTATAGCAAAAACCTCTCAAAAAAAAAAAAAAAGTGAAGGCAACCTATAGGGAAAGCCCAGCAACAGTGCAAGGAGCACATATAATACCTTGTTTGCTAAACTTTCAAACTGTGTAATTTTTTTTTTCTTCTCCAACTGTTTTTATAGAAAATTTCACACGTCGGCCCAGGTCAGCAGGTGGCATGGAGGTTAAGGCAGCTAGATTGCACATGCCCAACTGTATGGTTCGGGGCCCAGACCCAATGGCCTGAGAAACACCGCAGGTGTGCATGCGAGCTTAAAATCCCAAGAGGAGAGACAGCGGCGACGTGGCCGTGCCTGGGAGAGCCTGCTCTCGGGCAAGCTGACGTGACCCGTAGCCGACAACGAACGCAGGCCCGCCAGCTGCTCGGCGGCTGAGGTGCTGGACCCCACAGAGCTGACTGTGGTGCATGTGTGTGCGTGCCCAAATCCCAAGAGGAGGATGGAGGAGGGACTGCAGCATGGCCACCCTCACCAGGGTTGCTTTCCCACCCGCGCTCCCTGTGTCTGGCGAATTACAAAAGAAGCCGAGAGGACATCACATGAAATAGAATAGCCCAGGCACAGAGAGCGGAGGGTCTCCCGTTCTCACTGACAGGCGGGAAGCACAGAGGACGACCTCATAGAGTGGAGGGTCTCCCGTTCTCACTGACAGGCGGGAAGCACAGAGGCCGACCTCACAGAGGCAGAGGGGAGCGTGGCCCTTCCAGGAGGCTGAGCAGAGTAGTGGGGAGGGGCAGAGGTAAGGGCTGGTCGCTTAGTGTCTACAGCGCCATGAGGCTGGTTCCTATTCAATGGCGGGGATACTGGCCTAGTGTTCAACAGCACGGTAGGGTGATGCCTGCTCGTTATTTTAGGTTTTCTTTCTTGCTCTCCTGAGGGGAAGAAGGAGACAGGAAGAGACAAGCACTCTCTACCAATCCTCAGGCCCCAATATCCAAGCCTTTCCCAGCCTGCCAGGAACATGGCACAGGCAGGTCGACCTGGTCCTGTGCAGCACTCTTCCGCACGACTCCAGCGTGGCAGTGCCCCACTCCATGGTGGGGCTATGGCCGTGCCAGCATGGCTGGGCCAGTAACTCACTGAGTAGTTGAGAATGGCTACGAAAGGCTCTGCAGGCCCTGACACAGCCGTGATGTCTGCCAGCACGTGTGCGCTGACTGCCCTGACGTGACTGCAGCCCACTGTGTACATGCAGAGAAACTCAGCCACACCCCACACATGCACACGACTAGGAATCAAGTTTTTCTTTGAGACAGAGAGATTTCTTGCTATAGGGCACATGCACTCACCAGAGACACAAAGAGACACAGCAAGAAATCACCCCCCGGGGCAATGGCCACACTGTAATCCCTTCTCCTCCATTCTCCTCCTGGGGTTTTGGGCACACACACATACACAAGCCTGGCTTAAGTTTAAGCCAACAGGTCCAGGACTTGAACCATGGTTCACTTGGGAGCACTAAGTGGGAACCCAGCAACCTAACCATTACATCATCTACTGGTCCCTCAATTTATGCTTTTATTTACAATGTGGTATAGCTGTAAAAAACAAAAACCTATACAGCAAATTAGAAAAAACACACCAGAAGGGCCAGCAGTTGGCTATGTAGCTGGATTCCCATGCAGTCGACTGCAGTTCAAGTCCCGGACCTGGTGGCTGAAACTCATGCCGGGTGCGTGTGCGTGCGTGCCCAAGATCCTGAGAGGAGAATGGAGAAGGGATTGCAGTGCGGCTATCCCCCTGGGGGCTGATTTCTCACTTTCTGTCTCTCTGTCTTTCTGGTGAGCGCATGCACTCTATAGCAAAAACCTCTCTTAAAAAAAAAAAAAAAAAAAAAGGGAGAGAGGGGCCCAGCAGATGGCATGATGGTTACATTGCAAGCCTACCACAGTCAACTGGACCCAGTGGCTTAAAACTTATGTTGAGCACATGTGCATGCATTCCTAAGATCCAAGAGAATGGAGGAGAAGAGACTGCGGCATTGCCGTTTTTCCCCCAGGGGATGTTTCTTGCTTTCTGTCTCTCTGGTGCCACACACCCTACAACAAAATAAAATCTCTCTTTAAAAAAAAGGGGGAGCAGACCAGCAGTTAGCGTAATGGCTATGTCGCTGGATTCCCACGTAGTCGACCGCGGTTCCAGTCCCAGAGCCGGTGGCTTAAACTCACGCCGGGCGTGTGTGTGTGCGTGCCCAAGATCCCAAGAGAAGAATGGAGAAGGGGTTGCGGGGTGGCCATCCCCCCGGGGGGGTGATTTCTCACTTTCTGTCTCTGTCTGTCTGGTGAGCGCACGTGCCCTATAGTAAAATCCTCTCCAAAAAACGAAAAAAAAAAAAAGGGGAGGACAGAGGGAGAGTACACAGCCACTCAGATGTGCAGACGCAGCCCACCTGCGGTGGCTCATAGATCGCGGCCACCTCAGCCCTGATGCCGAGCGGAATGTCCTTGTGCTCCGTGTACCGTCCATACAGGTACCCAAAGTGCTGGTTCCCCGTCTTCCTCCAGAAGTCAAGGAAGCGGTCGGCGACAGTGTGATTCTCAAACATAATGTTGTCCACATGTCTGTATTTCTGCAGAGTTAAGCAAAAACATTTCGTCAAAAACAACATACCAGTCCAGCTCCATAGCCTAGTGACTAAGGAAGCCAGTACCCACACGGCTGATTAGAGTTCAAATCCCAGCCGGGCAGCTTAAAAAACATTCTAGGCTGGGGACCAGCAGTTGGCGTAATGGCTATGTCGCTGGACTCCCATGTGGCTGACCATGGTT